TGACCGAATAGGTCATGTCACTAATTAACCAATCAAAATGCTGGATGGTGCCCACATGTCTAAATTACATAGCTCATTTAAATATGTTAATGAAAGTTCAGCAACCTCATGGTGAACACGGAAGAGATTTACCGATAATGTAGTGCGATGTCTTGGCTTTGATTTCCATGGGAAAACGACATGATTTTTTTTGTAAATCAAGAAATTATTTGTTTTCGAAAGATAAACTGAGCATTGAAGAAGAATTTAACACTTTTACGGTGATAACAGCTCATTGTCTAAAACTTGCGAAACACAGACGTATTCAGAAAGAGTATTGATAGAGGTTGCCGCCAGAACAAAAGCAGTTTCATTGCGTGTCTGACATCCTATCACCGCTGAACAATAAATAGGTGTGAATATTTTTAGGCACGTTGTCGAAACAAATGAATAGGTTTAGGAACAATGCCGTTTTGGACCAGCTGGTTGAAACAATGAAGTCAGTCACGGTCTTGTTGAATTGGGGGTGTGGTTAGTAATAGGTACTTTTCAAGTTTTCAATTTTTGTTAAGAACTCTTCAACCCTGAAGCCGGAATTGGGGGTGCGGTTACTATTACGTATGCGGTTTATATTAGGACTTTAACGGTACTTGTTGAAACTTCCATAACCCTCAAACATGTGGGCGAGGGAATGGGGTTCTGTGAAATGAAATGGTCCATTAATTGTATAAATTTAGTGTAAGAAATATATGGTATTCCAACTTTATTTTTATTTTTTTTATTATTATACATTTTTATACTAATTCAGAATTTGGAAGCACTGTGCTCTAAACGCTGCAATTCATACGTCATGTGTTTTGAAGCTACAGCCGTTGATGCGTTATTAATGACATAATGAACATTTTGTTACTTACTAGAAGTGAAAGTGTCAGGTTTAGACGAGAGTTCACCATTTGGTAATTTAACTTTGAGACTAGAACTGAGCGGAGATTGACCAAGGTACTTTGCTGGACTTCCAAGAGGACGAGGCTGCAGTGTTGCACCGAGACCGCTTATATTCAAACCTGATACTATAAATAAACAAAACAAAATGTCAAAGAACCAATACTGAATACAGCAACATTTAATGACATCCCAAGGATTAGCATTTTACAAGGTTTACTTTGCACTATAACCACCAGACAGCAAGCTTGATGTTCAAAAAACTTTAGTTTGCTTGTTTTTCATACAAAGAAAAATGTCTTGTGATATTTTAATTTTCATACAGATTCAGACCACAGCGAGAAACTGACACTTAACAAAAATTAAGAGACTTGATTTTAACTTTTACCAGTTGTTGGCTATAGTATAATTAATTTAATTAATCTTGCTAAATCAAGAGAACAAAAAATCTTGGAGATACAATTTCCCACAATTAAGAGCATTCTTGTTAGCAATTTCTCAACTGAAAACCTGTGAGACAATGTCATTTTTCCCCACTAGTTTCACAATTTGTACCAGTTATTGCATACATGCTATAACTGAGGTTGTTAAATTTCAAACTGCTTCGTAAACAACATTTAAATACTACTATTCTACTATTGCAACTACTGGTCCATGTAAATACCTTTATCATGTCTGCTGTCATCTAGTGGAGCTGGTGAGGATCTGACTGTACTCGGATAAGCTGAACTACCAAATCCTATGACACAACATACATGGCATGGTTTTAAAAATTGTTATTAGAAATAACCAAAAACACAGTATCAATGGAATGCACATGTACATAGTGATGCAATAACTGTCAAAATATGCCACTTGAGGGCAGTATATACTAAACATATTCTTGGGGGCGGACATCCGGGCATTTTCACCGCCTGGAAACCATCACTGTGAAAACAAAGGCCGAAAACTGTAGTTTTGGACAGTTGGGGAGCTCCCCTGCATGGGCAGCATACATGTGTATATAAAATTGGTTGCTCGGGATTAATTCGAAGCTCAGTTAGTGCCGTTTCCTCGACTTTAGCTGTTTTTCATCAGCTCTTTGACCGGCGTTCCACAGCAGCTCGCACAGAGCCCATAGAAATACATGGTACAGTGGTGTGCATCTTAGCAATGTTAAAATAAAAACCAAAGTTTAAAAATCAGTAAATTTAAAACCTGGTGAATATCCCTGGGAACATTTTGCCTGCTGAAACAGATATGAATGGTATAAAAACAGCATCAGCAAGAGATTTAATTTTTAAAGCTAGTAAATATTTCTCCTTCCACAGTAGTTTGAGTTCCGTCATTTCATGGCTAGTAGCAATAATGAGAAATACCGTAACACATTTGAACAGTATCCAATGTTCTCACCAACAATTTGTTGAAGGAGCAAAAAAGAAATATTCTAGAGTAATGTGTTTCAATTGCATGGGCGTCATTTCATCAGTTTGGGATTTATAACTTGTTACACTAGAATAATTTGAGGTCGGGGAAAATAGAGGGAAGTTCTACAAATCTCAACACTAGAGGGCGCACTGTGCACCTGCACTGAAGCCTTACCACTTGCAGGGACTTGTTCCATTTGTTCTTCATCACCAAAGAATGATGCTTTCATGACTTGCATACGATGTGAGCTCATACCGAGAGATGTAGCAAACCGATGTGAATGGGCTACAGGTTCCTCTTGCTCCATGTCATCAGCATCTACACAAAAAACAAATTATTTATCAAATTCATTTTGTCCACATCCAATTGAATCACAAAAAGACATTTAATACTATGTTTTGTTTTTGTACCAACTTCATACAAGAACATTTCAGGCATTCGATTCAGTGTTTTTCTGTCAGAGGGCAATATTTGAATTCTCAGTGAACCACACCAGGCATTGAAATACATGTAGCAAATCTAAAAGAAATCTCAGGGCGATTTTCAAGCAAACACAATTAAGAATCTAGATGCACAAACAGATATAGGACGCCATTTTCATATTTTATAGCATAAAATCAAATCCATTACGGCTGATAAAACAAATATTATCCCATGCCTAACCTCTGAGATGAAGCTGTGGCAACGGTTCTCTTGTGGTTTCAGCCATGTCACTATCTGTGTCTCTGTCCTCTTTCATAGGCTCTTCAGATTGCAATGCGTCCTCCCCAGATAGTACCTTCTCCTGTTCTTTCAGTTTCTAAATGAAAACACCATTGAAGGCATCAAGTGGTACGCATCACAACATTGCACAAGTGACACAGCTATGATTGTATTGCTGTATCCACCTACTACTGTCTGAATGGTGCGCCTACAGCGATCACAAAACAAATCCGGATTTGATATTCAAGGCAAAGGCACATTTATGAATCTGTCGACGTGAATACATTGTGGTGACCTTGCATAACTAAATATTTCTCAGTATGCTGTACACTAGTGAAAACGAAATGACAAACATCGAATTGTGCTTATACAATAAAATAATAAACAATGCCAAGCTAAGTCTATTGCAACTTTTTAAAATTTTTAGAATATAATTTTTATATTCCAGCAAATATTTTATTACAATAGTTTTTTTTTATACTTTTGTTGTCAATTTTGGAAAATGTGCATAATTTCCTATTTTCCTACGCCTTGATCAACATTTTTGAAAAATTGAAAAATGCTTATTTTGTGAAAGGTGAACAAAGTTGACTTCAGCTTTGAAAAATTTGAAGTTATGCAGCAAAACAAGTTTTGGTAGAAGCAGGACTATCCTTGTTTGAAACATCTTTGTGTCTGTAAAAGATTAACATTTAATATCTCAATGAACAGCACAGTATTTTTAATAACATTATTAGCATGACTTAGCTGGGAAGTTTACTCATCACTGAGGGAAAACAAATTAAATTCATTATTCAGTTTAGCCAAACAACATCTACACAATTAACATGATGTTTTGTGTGCTTGAGCATGAAATGAGATTTCTAACATGTCTCAGAGCATACTTGCACATAGTTTGACTGTTTTTCCCCAAAAAGTGAAAAAAAAATGTTGTTTTGTTTTTTAATGTTCAAACATTTATTCTCATCTTTAATGTCTTTTAACTTTAAACACAGAAACATCAGAGAAAATATCACAAACATTGATAGAGACGATAATCGGTGGTGAACATTTGGGAGGACGCACAGGCGACTCTTAGTCCGAGATTTTGCAATTTGAGAGAATCTTGCAGTGTCACCAACATTTAAGATATTATTTAGTATAAATCCCATCCCAAAGAAATTGAAAATGAGATCTTGCAGGTGTGAGCATCCAAAGAACAAAACATTTTTCTGCCTGGCATCGGCAAAATGATTCCCCGTTGTTATATGAATGGTGAACGATACAAATTTGAAAAGTACGGACAATGTTCCGTACAAGATTTAATCCACATAGCATTCCAATATCGTGTATTGTCATGTATTATTTTCTTTTTTCAAACACAGGAAAAGGTTTTTTTTTTTTTTAAACATTTATTACATACTTATCTATACTTTCAATAAAATCAAAATAAATTTTTCTTAATGAAAAATTTTAAAATAAAGGAGATGATGGACGTTCACTCTTATATAAGAAATAGCTTGAAATATACAATATGATCATTATTAACAGTTTGTAAATGCGTTTGTAAAAGTTCAACTTGTAAAAGTAGAAATAAAATTTGTTCTCAATAAATGCTTCGAAATTTTCATAAAAGAACTATTAAAATTATTAAAAAATGTACGCTAACACTATTGCGCAGATTCAAAAAACAAAACAGTCCTATGATAAAACAATTAATGTATATTTAACAATAAAAAATAATTGTCAACTTAATTAACATACACATAGCAAAGTACGATTGATACAAAATTAGCTTGTTTCAATGGTAAGCATTCTCTAAGCATCAACTGGGTTTGCTAGACTAGTCTATTCAACAGATAAAATTGGAATACTGAAATAATCTTTAAACTTGCTGATATAATGGAAAGCACCAGTAAAAAACTTTTATACAAGGTACTTGAGCGCCGCGGACCTACTTTTTTGTGTTTGTTGATGTTTCGGTGGCTAATTTTCACACATGTTGAGTTTTTACATCAAATTATTTTTCATATATAATCTTCTGTATGAGCAAAATACTATGAATAACACATAAAAACTGCAATACCTTTGTATGTATACATGTACTGCAGTATTAAATTGGGTATAAAATATGACAGAGACTGCTTCAATGGCTTCAGTAGCAAACTCAGTTAGTGCTTGAAAAATTTGCCTATTAAACACACATTTAAACAGCAAATTCATGCACTAATTAATAAATGATTTAAACAATTAAGGATTAAAAAAAAGATTAAAATTAAAATGTAGTTAACACTGTATGGTCCCTAGTTCAAGTTTCCAGCTTCATCAATGTGTAGAAATGTAAATTTCATAAAATGTCCAAACATCACATGATTCTAATTATCCAATCAATGATCAGCACAATGCAGATACGATACATACTGAAATGACAGTGCAAATCATTCAGCAGTAAACACAGTCAAATTTTTGTGCACAGTTTGATAGTTGGAAAGATCCCATGGTCTGTGGGTTTCCCGTATTCACAAACTGACTCTTGTAGGCACACAATACAACACAACGCACTTGTTCATACTGTCAGTACCTGCTGTTGTTCCTTTTGAAGTTTTTGTTGTTGAAGAGTCTTCAATTTTTTGGGATCCTGACCCGGCAGGTCATCGTTTTCTTCATCACTGTCTTCTAAGGCATACTTTGAGAAATGAGGAACCTGAAACAAAAAAAAAAGTAAGTTAATACATCAAGTTTCACCTATTACTATGTAAATCAATTTTACACTTCTCCACAATAGACTGTGCTGCAGTTGACATTGACTTAGATGCAAAAGTAGATATTTTTATGCACAAGCCTGCCCCGATGGTGAACTGAAAACTTGACAGTGAATAAATAGTTTTCAATTTTGTTTTTATAAATTTAGTTGAAAAGTATTTTTGAATTGTGTTTCACAAAAATAAACATTGTATTATCAATATAAAACATAATAAATGCTTGTAAATGTTCTTAATGTCAATATTGCTTTACAACACATTACCACTGTTAGAAAATTGGATGACACAGAACAAGCCAACACTACAGCATAATGATCATTTACCTGAAACACCCATGACCCGGTCTCTGGTCTATAATCTATAAACTTGGCACCTAGCTTCATTGTCGCTTTTTCCAATTTCTCTGCGTATGATAGAGTTTTTAATCTATTTGGACTCTTTATCGGTTTACGAGTGGTTTTATCATTCGGCCACGTACAATCCAGTGTCACTTCAGCTTTTTTATTAAGTCCGTGACCAGTCACTGGTTTGGTATTCTCATCTGGATACAGTGTAATCTCTTTACGACGTATATGCACTGAAAATAAAGAAAAGATGATAAGGCAACATTATTATTATATGCAAATGTACTTTGATATGAAATAAACATCATAAACAGTTTAAATTTTCACCACCAGACTTCCTTGCCCAAATTTGTCTGCACTTTTTTCTTATATTCTTCAATATTTCTGAAAATGAACCATAATTTTTAAGCCAACAAACAAAATTTGAGTCAATTTCCAATTTTTACTCAAAAAATTCAGCTATTTTTGTCCCAAATCTTCAGAAAGAAAGTGCAGACTATAAACAGGACTATTTTGTGAATTTGTGATGAAAAGAGGTAACTGATTGTGATAGGGTCAAGTGTAATGAACACAATTGATGGTAAATATAATATATACATACTTTATATATATATTGCATTTGTTTTATTAGAAGTATCTTATCTAGAAGTGCACATAAACCAAAAATTACATTTATTTATAAATTATTTATTTATTGGATAATTGAAATACGACTTAGTTTGACCACAGTCCTCTGTCATTTACGAACTGACGTGCACTACATATACAATGAAGAGCAAAAACGGTAGTCCCTAGGATGGAAATGGTCCCCTTATAGATATGGATAATGGCAGTAAAACTGTGTAAACTATCAGGCTATGCATATGTAGTTTTTTATAGTCATAGTTGTATCATCCTATCTAGCTAGTGTAACCAATAATTTAGCAAAAATAAACAAGGTAGCCCTTGTGGCAGATATGCTAAGATTACGAAATGTAAATAGCTTTTCCTTAAGAGAACTGATCATTACCACCAAGCCGGTTTCCTGTGAGTCTCCCGCGGCGTGCGTTTCTTTACCGTACCGGCCGCTGCTTTACCGTACCGGCCGGTTCTTTACCGTACCCGAAGGTCATTAGCCGTACCGGCAAGGCCGTTACCGTACTGGCAGGAGGCAATTCACACCTCTGACAAGTTAATTTATGCATTGACTTTCCGGTTTACCGGTAAAATGCCGACCTGTTTAAATTTCAGTTTTATGCACAGGATCGCCAGAGAAAGCAAAACTGTAGAATTAATTTGTTTCGTTTGTAGTTATAGTCTGTTTATAAATCAATTTGTTCATGTTTGCTGTGCGGTAGCTTTCGAGGTCAAATACACCACCGGTTCAATTTGTTGCGTCTTTTTATTTGTCAGAGATTAAACTTTACCATTATTATTGAATAATATTTACATTCAAGTTGCGCGTGATAATGCTACATGTGATTTTTGTGAGACCATGGAGCTCCCAGTACGTCCATGGTGAGAATGAGAGCTTCACCAAGGCGTTTTTTCACTTCATCTGGCGCCAGTGCTTGTGTGCTTGGATGTTTTTTTTATTCAGTGATTGGGCTAAATATTTGACGACATCCAATTTGATACAAAGTAGTAAATGCGTGTT